TTTCTCTGACTTAACGTAGCTGGCTTAAAGAAAGACTTGTCTCTCAAGAGAGCACTACTGGCTAATTTCATGTAATTTTAAAGCCACCAATTGTAGATATTTTCCGCTGCTGACTCCTATGTAAAAATAGACGTGACGTCAGCAAAGGAAAATATCAATAAGTTTCCTGAGATCCGAGCAAGGCTATGTACGGGTAATGCGGTCAGAAAAGCAATAGGTTTAATTAGCCAAGCGACAACCTTGCCTGCACATCACTTTTTTCTGTACAGTTATTTTGCCGTCACTGCATAACTAGAACGTAAAAATGCCCATAATTTCACCTTTTATGTACGACGTTAACAAGCCAAGAAGAAATGTTATTTTGCCTTTTTCTGAGTAGTAAAACACCTCCAGGAGAGTTCATCATATTTGACAAAGTCGGTGAAGATTGTGCATTCAAACTACTTTATTGTTCGACGGTATGGAGTAGTACGAGCAAGAGGAACGTTAGAAAACTTCAGCTAGTTCAGAACAATGCCAGCAGAATCGTAGCTGGTTTAAGAAAGTACGATCATGTTTCAGAAGCCCTGAAGTCCCTTAAATGGCTTAACGTAAGGAATAAACTGCTTTTTAACGACCTAGTGATGGTGTACAAAATTAATGCTTAAAGAACCTAACAACTGGTTACCATCACGGGCGCTTTCAATATCGTGCAAAAACTCACCAAAGAGACACTAGACAGAACAATGACCTTACGTTGCCTCGGTATAGGCTGGCCACTGGCCAAAAGACTTTCACCTACCGTGGGGCAAAACTGTACAATAGTATAGCTAAAGATATAAGAGACACGGGAAATCTTAACGTTTTTCAAAATAGAATTTTTAAATTTCTTTTTAATTCATGGATAGTTTTTTCTATTATTGAAACTTAAATAGTTTTTAAAATTATTGTTTTATTATTATCATTATTGTTTATAGAAATTCGTTATTTTATCATCGAAATGTAAATAGTTTCCTAGTCTATTTTATTTTATCTTATTTTATCATTTTCTTTAAAATTCGTGTATATATGGCGGAAGAGCCCCCAAGGGGGTCGAGCTATGCAATAAAGTTAATGTATGTCTGTATGTATTTTAAGCAACGTTTTTACCTGCCAGTCACCGTCCTCAAATTTTTGAAGCCAGGTTCCTACATATCATTGCTCGAAAAAAAGGCGAACCAACAATACGAAAAAATCTCCCTTTGCATCAACCAGTGCTGAAATGCTCTAAATCTAATTAACGTCCAATTTTTAACAAACGCTTTTGGGAATTACGTTTGGCTTACGGAAAAGTAATCTGGTTTAATACAGCTAAAATTTTGATGAAGACACAATAAAACAAGTTGGAGAAGGAATCCCGTATATCTCTATTTAAGCTGCGTCTTGAGGGAGAAAACAAAGAATACAATGGAACGTTACCACCAAGTTCCTGTATACAGAAGATTTACATATCAGTCATTGTTTATATTGAGTTATTCTTATGTTTCAATTATTCTACCTTTTTGGGCTGCAGGTGATTTTTTTATGGGGCTTCGTACGTTTTTACCGGCCAGTCACCGCCCTCGAATCTTTGAAGAGGTTCCTACATATCATTGCTCGAAAAAAGACGAACCTTCAATACAAAAACATCTAACTTTGAATCAACCAGTAAGGATATTCTCTAAATCTAATTAACGTCCAATTTTTAACAAACGCGGTGGGGAATTGCGTTTTGCTTACGGAAAAGTAATCTGGTTTGATAAAGTTAAAATTGTTTTGAAGACGCAGTAAAACAAATTGGAGAAGGAAGCTGCGTCTTGAGGGAGAAAACATAGAAATAATACAATGGAACATTACCTCCAAGTTCCTATCTCGAAGATTTACATATCAGTCGTTCTTTATATTGGGTCATTCTTAACTGTCAAATTTCTTCCTTTTTGTGCAGCAGGCGATTTTTTTATGCGGTTTCGTACGTTAATTTTTACCGGCCAGTCACCGTCCTCAAATCTTTGAAGAGGTTCCTACATATCATTACTCGAAAAAAAGGCGAACCAACAATACGAAAAAATCTCACTTTGCATCAACCAGTGCTGAAATCTGTTTTAAAAAAGCTAAAATTTTCCAAGTTCCTGTATATAGAAGATTTACATATCAGTCATTGTTTATATTGAGTCATTCTTATGTGTCAAAATTTCTACCTTTTTGTGCTGCAGGTGATTTTTTATGGGGCTTTTCAGTTGCAAAAACTGCACCAGTAGGTGCATATTTATTTTTTTCTATGCCTTTCTGATCTTTTGCAATTTCTCTTCATTAACGATTTACTTTCCAAAGGGTGGCTTACATATAACACTGCTTTTTCCAACCTCAATAGCACTAATTACTGGTGTTGAGAAAAAGGTGCATATTTCCGCAGCGCAGTAGAGAAAAAGGAAAGTTAGCTTTAATTCTTATCATAAATTCGGCAACACGGAAAACTTTAGGCTTTTTGTGCGAGGATTAAATAAGTAAAGGATTGCCAGAGGAAAGTTAATGAAATTAGTAATCATTACGCACAGTTAACAACTCAGTGACTCTAATGCATCTGATGGTTTCGGGTTTCTGCCAATTCTGGCAAGTTTTTTTGAGAAATTTCAACTTAGCTCGCCCATGCAGTAAGTGGTTATCAATATAGCGCTCTTTTTTGCAAAATGAAAACGCGGAAAAATGTGGCTGAAACGCTCTCGAAAGACGAGAACGGAACGCTAGTGGGGACGCTATTATTCTGACCTGTTTTTTAATCAAATACTGAGCGTAAAAAGCCCGATTTGTTAAAATGAACTAGGTATCAAGCGGCCGACTAGTAGAAATCATTACCACCGCTAATTGGAATATAGGCCATCCTCAAACAGCACCTTGACAAGATCGTAACCTCAGCGGATGAAACATTACTCATACCCTTTGTGCACTCGTGTGTCTAGCCTGTTCCGCGAGTTCAGATCGTGGGGACGGCGTGAAGAGATGTGAGCACTATCGTGTGCCCTAATTTCTCTTTTCTATTTCCCTTCAAACACCCCCTGTTCAGGCTAATTTCTCTATCAAACATCAACTACCAGTAAACATTTAACTGATTACTTTCTGAATTTCTCTCTAAGGTCAATGCGCTCGTAACAACCGATACGTCACATTTCTAACGCCAGTTAACGGATTTTACCTTGAAGGCCACGTGTTTTTAAATCTCTCAGTGGAACTAAACCGAGACTGCCAAGACCAATGCACGCTAGCCAGAGATTGTGTCTCCTATAATACTGGTCCCCGCATTGACAACAAAATGGCCTGTGAGCTCAGTAATTCAGATGACTTGCAGCACCCTGAAAATCTCAAACCAAGACGCGACTGGAACTACAGAGGCACAAAGGTATGACATCTGTATCATTTTATGTCTAGTTTGTTTTCATTGTATTTCAGTATATTTTTATGTCAAACATGAAAAGATAACACTCTCGAATCTGCTAAGATGGGCGGTACACCCTGGGGTGTGAATGTCATGGAGTTGCACGGGCCTTCAGTTCCGTGTGAATCTGGTTGATGATAGTTGCTAAAGCAAGAGTAGTGAGTCCCCACCTTATACACGACACCACAAACAACAACGGGGAGAGACTCTTAAACTTTTGCCTCGCAACCAACCTACGACATGCTCAATCCAGATTTCCCCACCCAAGGTGAACGCAGTGGTCCTGGACCCACCCGTTGGGCTCTTGTGCCAAAGTTGACCATATTCTGGTCATTGGTAGGTGGCCTAACTCACTAAGAAACTGTTAGTGTAGAGCTTACAAACGTGTAGAGATCGACTCCGACCACCGCATCCTACGTGCCACTCTTAAAGTGAGTCTTAGAAGTACCGAAGGCAAACCTGTAAATGGAAGAAAGTACAGTTTGAAGAGACTCGCGCATGAAAACAGAATTTCGTTAAAACTTTCGAACCACTTCGCCTCCCGGCCCTACGATTCCAATTGAAGAGCAACTCAATATCAGGAACAGTCAGTCGAAAGTATAACACGTATCATATAGTGAAAAAGAGGAAGGAAGTGTGTTTCAAATGGGTTAGCTTAACTGGGTCCCCAAAGAAACAGAAGACCTTCAGAAAGTTTGAAATGACGCAAAAAGCAAGCGCCTGCGCCTTAACTACTAAGGAGACTGACTAAAACACACACCAGATAAGAGATTTTTGTCCTCGAATGCAGTATTTAACTCAGTGTGACGGCGCTGCTGTTGTCCCTTTCGTAAACGGTCGCTGCTATTTTTACGAAACTTAAAAAATTTTTGACCTGTTATTGAAAGTGTTTCTATGAAAAAGAAAGAAAATCGCAACCTAGGGCCAAACCAGGCCTCGAATCCGGACTCTATCCTAACCTCTCTCTCATACCACTGACATTACCACACCAACCCGCCAAAATTCCCAAAATTTTAAGTAAATACACTAACAAACTGTCTTTCTTAACTGTCACACCAATAACAGGTGACCCTAGCCCTTTTCGAAAATTTTAACAACAACAACAACTTGGGCTCCAACGTCGTTCTTTCTAACACTATTCGAAAATCTATTTTTTGCCTCTTTGCAACTTAATCCAGGGAATATATCACTAGTGGCATCGACCGTTAAAAATGGCAAAGACCGTTTACGAAAGGGAAATAGGCGACGGCACTTTATTTGTATACTAGATATTTCTTAACGCACACTAATATTGGCTTTCCGTCCTGAAGGCCCCAAGGGTAGATTTCCACTGTCGTAAGTACGCACGTAAAGTTACGCGCGTAAATAAAACAGAAACAGTGTATGGAAGGTCATGCGTAAACGTAAATTTGAACCTCGCTCAACTTTCACGTTAACGCGTGGCCTTTCATGCTTTGCCTCAATTTCATTTACGCGCGTACATTTTACCTGCGTTCCCATGGAAAAATTACGTGACAGTGGAAATCCACCTTCAAGAGAAACGACTAGCATCCCCGTCAGTCATTTTCATATGGGATTTTCCTCTGGGGATCCAATGACTCTGCGGAATTTAGTAGGCATATGAGTCAACCACTTGAACAGTTTATACCAAGTGTCAACAGATTGGATACCCTAGGTACCAGAGGTTTTTTCTTGCGTGCGGCGGGATGCATCATCATGCATCATTGGACATATCCTCGGCAGAAGCCCGACGCCACGAGCGGCAATTAAAGCACCGCCAAACCGTAAACCGTGTATAACAAGTCGCGGGCACACAGGGTACAGATCGGAAAAATTAAAAACAGTATGTCAAAACACTTGTTGAAGGTCAGAAGTGAAGGACGTTTTGTCACTTGTAGTTCTTACGTAAGAACGAAGATGGGAGGGTTTTATGTACAATGTGTTTCCTCTTAATCAGAATCTTTGCGCCAAGAAACCTTGCCTTAACAACGGGAAGTGCTCAATGGGATATACTGAGAAGAAATACGTTTGTGTTTGCCCGGCTGGCTACCACGGAGAAAACTGTGAAAAAGGTAAACAGTATATTGATAATTAAAGTACACTCCTTTTATGACAAAGCTGTTTAAAACGAAGCAGTTATCCAAGTTATCCAAGTTCGAACAGAAGTAAGTCCAAGTTCTATCGGTTTTCGCTACCAATTTATCAAACCCAGACTTTGAAATCTGCAAAATGTTCCACAAACACACTCCATTTTTGTAGCATGGCAGCGGGCGTGGCTAAAGTTTAAAAGTGCTTTATGGATAATTGTTATTTCATTGTTATCCTCCTTTTAAAAACTTCAAGCTAAGGATACTTGCTCAGGGCTGTCAATCCCCCACGTTTTCAAATATTGAGGAAGGGATGATAGATGACGTCACAATGCACGGCACATTATGTCATTTGTAGAAAAAAAAAAGCGCGAAGAAGATGTTGTTGGAATTGTAACAATTGACCTAACTGGTTAACTTACCACCAATCACATTATTGCTTATATTACAATGGCATACCGGAGTTTGTGAGGAAACGTTCGATGTTAAACATCGCAAAATATTTGAAATTTCATTGTCAGAAAGCCGAATCTACAAGAAATGGCAAACTTCGGCGATTATCCGGGAGATTTCAGACTGTTCCAGGCTCTCAGATAGTGGGGAAGACGCGAAAGTGTGGGCGGGGCGGGAAAAAAGGGAAAACGAGGGGAGAGAGAGCGTGTAATCATCTCTTTTACGACCCTTTTCCGCTGCCTCCCCCTCTTCCCAGTTTCCTCCCGTTTTTTTCTTTTTCGCGCTTTCTCAATTCCGCAGGCCCGACTATCCCGTAGCCTGGAAGAGGCTAACTTTATCCTGTAGCAGTAGGAGCCGATTACTTATCGGCTCCTGATAGCAGTAGTTTAGCGAGACCGGACGAAGCAAGATTTTAAAACGTAAACATGAGATATTCCAACTTACAGTAGGTAAACTAATATTAAAGAATGTTCAAGCATTTCTTTTACGACCCTTTTCCGCCGCCTCCCCCTCTCCCCAGTTTCCTCCCGTTTTTTTCTTTTTCGCGCTTTCTCAATTCCGCGGGCCCGACTATCTCGGAGCCTGGAACAGGCTATTTCGGACTCTAATCTGGAGTTCGGAAGAAACGGTTCAAAATCTCAAGTCAAGTCTCCCGGATTATCCGGGAGAGTTGACAGCCCTGACGTTAGATATAATTTTGACTTGAGGTCTCATGTTATTGCAAAGCGCGGCAATTGTAGCGATGTTATTGCTCAATGAATTGCTGGTAGTTGACAAAATAGCCGCTTGTGTCAGACAAATATGTCTCGTGGCTGTTATATGTAAAGTTTCGAAAAGAAAAACATTGTCGGGTGAAACATTTTGCTTTGACAAACTTGGCTATCAATATTTCAAGTTTGGGCTTCAAGTAACTTTGTTTGCAATTTATCCGTGATTATTGTTTCGTTCAGATATAAACGAGTGTGAGAGCAGCCCCTGTTTGAACAACGGAACTTGCACTGACAGAATCAATGCATTCAACTGCTGTTGCCCGCCTGGATTTTCTGGCAATCGATGTGAAATTGGTTAGTATAGTGTTAAGTTGATTACCCTATAATGATGTCGTACGGTTAAGACGTGCTTAAATGTCAACGCCTATCCCCCACTTCAGAAACTTCAAAGGAAATGGCAGCACTGTCAACCCCCCACGTCTTCAAATATTGAGAATTGATGGAGAAGCGATGATAGATGACGTCATTATGCACGGCACATAACGTTATTTGTGGAAAAAAAACGCGCGAAAAAGATGTTGTTGGAATTGTAACATTTGACCTAACTGGTCTACTTGCCACCAATCACATTATTGCTTATATTACAATGGCATACCGGAGTTTGTGAGGAAACGTACGATGTTAACAATAAAATTGCTGAAACAACGCAAAATATTTGAAATTTCATTGTCAGATAGTCGAATCTACAAGAAATGGCAAACTTCGGCGATTACCCGGGAGATTTCAGACTCTAATCTGGAGACCGGAAGAAACGGTTCAAAATCTCAAGTCAAGTCTCCCGGATTATCCGGGAGAGTTAACAGCCCTGACGTTAGATACAATTTTGACTTGAGGTCTCATGTCATTGCAAAGCGCGGCACTGGTAGCGATGAAATTGCTCAATGAATTGCTGGTAGATGACAAAATAACCGCTTGTGTCAGACAAATATGTCTCGTGGCTGGTATATATAAAGTTTGGAAAAAGAGAAAAACATTGTCTGGTGGAACATTTTGCTTTGAAAAACGTTTGCTATCAATATTTCAATTTTGAGCTTCAAGTAACATTGTTATATTCCTAGACTTTTACTCAAGTAGGCAGGGACTGCCATTGGTTGATTCTTGGTAACGTGGCCTTGACTAAAATCAAATGTATCCCGATCGTGATACATTAAACAATGTATCCCGCTCGAGATACATTGCAGCACGTGATCAAAGCATGGTGGAAAGTGGCGTGACAGAAGGCGGGAAAAACACCGTCAGGTCCTGCCAGTTTTCTTTTTTGTGAATGAACACAACAACACAAGAAAATCTGGTTGATGATGTTGTCCTGATGTTTCCCTCGACTTCGTCTCGGGAAACATCAGGACTCTCGGAAAAACAAAACTAACTGTTTCCCTTGGGATCTGACATTAAGTGTATATTGTTTTCTTACGAGCTTTCGTATACCCTCTATTGAAAAATGGTACCCCTTTCACATACATAGTTCATAGCTATGCATCCTTTTTGAAAGCTGTAAATGCACTGTCTCTACAATATGAAAAAATCACTAAACCACAACCGTTTTCTTGACTTTTTCTCAGCCATTTGTACTACAAATGAGCAAAGTGGATCCTCACTGTCATCAATGTCTCACTAAAATGCCCTCAAAACCTCTCGCCGAAAAATGCGACGGAAATACTTTTCTTATTTTGCTAATGAGTTCTTAAAACAAATTTTATTGGTCAAGTAGATGTTCGTTTATTAGATCCAAGCACAATCCAAAACATAGGGAGGGCTAATTCAAATGTTTGAAACTGAGTCTAAAGACCTCTAAATGATGCATTAACAGCGCATGATCAGCAGAAGCCCATTTGATGGGCTCCCGCAGCTCAGCTTTTATGTCACATTTTTTTTGAGTTTGCCAACTCTTATTTTGGATTAACAACTTATCGCGAACAACCCGCCTAGAAATATTAGCCAAAAACTAATTATTACCGTATCGAATGATCATTTTGTTTTCAGTTTACAAGAACTGCGCTGAAGTCTACAAATCCGGTGCCAAGATCAGTGGAGTGAATAAAATTTATCCTGGTGGTCTGGGCGAATTTGAAGTGTTCTGTGATCAGAAAACTGCCGGTGGAGGTTGGACCGTGTTTCAGAAGAGGCGAGATGGCTCTGTTGATTTCTTCCGCACTTGGGATGATTACAAACGCGGTTTTGGCAATCTGAACGGTGAGTTCTGGCTCGGTTTGGACAAGATACATCGGCTGACTGTAAGCGGTGGTTATAAACTCCGTGTTGCCTTGGAAGACATTCATGGAAAAACTGCATTTGCCGAGTACAGCTCCTTTTCTGTGACAAACGAGACAGCGAAATACCAACTGAATTTGGGAAGTTATTCAGGTAAGTTTATGCAAGACTGAAAAAGAATCAGTGGGCGAAAAATGTTGCTAATTGGCAAATATGACAAAAAGAAAGAAAGAAAATGAGTTTTTTTTTCTTGCAATTGATCGCGATTGGAATGTGGAAGTTATCAGTTGATTTTTATAACAACAATTAACCTTATTTGTAATGTCATATTAGATTGTATAAAAAAGTTTTAAAAGGATTGGCCCACGTCTTGAGAGTTCAGAAATTAAGGGTATGTCATTGATTGTTTAGCAAGTACAAGATCTCTACCGGTTTCGAAGCTTTACTAAATGTTTGTTACCTTTAATGTTCCTTTTAAAACCTCTCGGGGGCCTTTCCAATTTTTTTTTTAAATCCTAGAATTGTTTCGTCCCGTTTGGATTAAATAAAGTGGACTGAGATTGCTTATGCAGGAGTGAAAATTGACCGGTTGAAAAACTCTGCGAAAAGTACCCGAAAAATATGACATATATTTCGCGGCTTTTTTCCCCTTTTTGTAGGAAACGCTAGTGATGCCCTTGGTTATCATCGTGGTATGTCATTTTCCACCAATGATAGTGATAACGATAAACACGGTGCAAACTGTGCCTCGCTGTATAAAGGTGCCTGGTGGTACCGACATTGTCACATTTCCAACCTGAATGGTCTGTACCTCAGTGGTAAGTACGATTGTCAAGGAATACGCTGGAACAGTTGGCCCAAGGGTAGCTGCTACTCTGTCAAGAAAACTGAGATGAAGATACGTCCAAACGATTTTTGAGATATTTCTGGCACTTTGTGTTAAGTGAAACGTATGTTTCTTGAGGTCTTAACATTCTAACAATAAATGTTTTGAATGAAGTTAAAATCAAGTAATGTATTGAAAAACGCCAGTTTCAATGATTCTAAGTAACATTTTTTTAATTCGTTTCTAATTAACCACCCTCTAATAAAGGCGCTTCAATAAAAACATGAATCACTTGAAAAGTTGTATTTATCTGAACTTTTTGAAATTAAATAACCGGATTGCGTTTTAACCCAGCCAATGAAAGCTTCTTTGCAGGACTTTCCTGTGGCACTTTTTTTTTTTCAGCTGTACAAGATGTTTCTAAATTTTGAGTCTGTGTATGAAGTCCTAAGGTGTGGAACCTTTTTTTTCCAAAAACTGCTACAAGGTGAAATATTTCTGTTCGCTTACCTCATCGCGGCACTTGCACGGCTTGACAGAGCTGAACCGATGAATGATGCTCATTATAATGTGACTAACTACGCCTAGGGCGGGACTAAATTGAACCACTTCATGTATACACCCAAGAGAAGTTGCCAAGAACATATGGCTGAGATTTACAGATGAGATCTTATTTGTTGTAGCTCCGGGCTGTTTTCTCGAATTAGCACACCTGCCTCGAAGTCGCAAAAAAAAAAACAATCATATATAAAGGGTTTTTCAAAAGTTCGTTTCGATTGTATATTGTATTTTGCGTAAAGCATTTAATGATTCTTTAGGGAAATGTACACTGATTCAGGTAAGAAATTTATCTAAATAACCTTTCAAAGCAATTTCAAACTAAAATTTGAAAAAAAAATTTTCAACTTTCAACAATATCAAAGTTTCGAGCACAAAAGTATGAAGATGTATGACCAACAAAGGCTGGAAAGCCTTGAAGAGAAAAAGGCAGCGCACATGCGGACATGGTGTCAGAAAGATTTGCAAACTTGAAAGCCAAGGGTGGACGGCTGGCAAACTCACGTGATGTAAACCCTCTAGAGACCACCTGGAGTACCGTTTACGAGACAACATAAAAAGATCCAGCACCAACTGAAAACACTGGACGAGCTAAAAAGACAGCCTGACTACGCTTCGCCTGGAAAAATGTTTCTTTGGACCCACTTTGGGAGATTGTACATTCTTTACCTCACCACTTAGAAAATGTCAGAGAACATAAAGGAAAACATTCTGGTTACTAATATTTCAGATATTCAGTGTTAAATGAATAATAAATAACATACTTGTATTTTTCATAATCAGCGAAATTTAAGCGAAGGAAAAATCGGAACGAACTTTTGAAACACCCTGTACAAAGCAAGAAAGCTTAAGAGCTACAATCTTGGACAAAACTGTTGAGAAAATTGCATATTTGGGGGCATTTTTTCTGAACTTCGTAGCCGACCGATTCTTCCCTCCTCCCCCCCCCCCCCCCCCCCTCCCCCTGGAAGCAATGTTGTTGGGTCTTCCAAAGAAAGCCGGATCCCTAAGCATTTCTAGGAAGCAACTTTGAATTGGGGGAGGGGGTATTCTTTACGCAAAGCCGTTGATTTGGAAACAGTTTTGTTGCGTTAGGTAGTGTGCATTAATGAAAACATTTTCTCAAGTAGTTTTGTACAGGATTGTACATAAGGTGCATTCCGACCCCGTCAAGTCACCGCTAAATCACTTTTCCTAATTTTCCTTTTACATTTATCAATTTCAGTTAACATTCTTAAGGCTGTGAGAGGTCGTTCCTGTATAGTACTAAGTAAGATGGTCGGTAAAAGTTGTTTAAGTTTGTCAAGTCGTTGTTGTTTTTGTCGTTTATCCGCGCTCGGATCAATCGTCTACAGGTCGCCCTTTTACGCCATAGATACGGACCAAGATATTTTATAGAATGTTTACCAAAAGTTATCGTGTTAAATCTTGGAATGATAAAGTCAGAAATACGTAGATTATAGTTAGTGTCCGATCTTTAAAACAGCTCAGAAATATAACTTTATGCAGGATAAATGCGAATTATCTTTTGTTCGAGAACTTGTCTCTTGGTGTCCCTGATTAGTAGGCTACACGTAGCCACTTAGAGGATTGACGCATTAAAAAAAGTTGTTCATTCATTCATTCATTCATTCATTCATTGTCTGCAACTTTCGAAAGCCAGGAAGCAATAGACCTTATTCCCGATTCCCACCATCTCTGCACGAGCTTAAGGACTGATGGTATGAAAGCAATGTCACATGGTTTCTTAGGGGACACAAAAACGGGAAAAAATGCAAATTCTATTCAACAGTGAATGAACAAAGTTTTAGTTTAAAGACAATAATGGCAAATTATGGGTAGAAGTGATCATTGTCAATTTGTCCTCATAACAAGCAATAACTACAATGAAAAACTAATGACTCAAAACTGAAACTAATAAACTAAAGAATAACTCTTAACAAAATGTTTAAAAAGAAAGTTTTAAGATTCTTCTGAAACGATGAAACAGAGCTGGAATGACGTATATTTAAAGGAAGAGAGTTCCAAATCCTTGAGGCGAAAACGACAAACGGCCCTGTCTTCACAAGTCTTAGTTCTTGACTTTGGCTGCATAAGTAAGTCAAATTTAGCCGCGAAAATGGAAATAATGTAACATAGTATTTGTGTATTTTTCTCGAGAGCACACTTATTTTGGAGCCTCGCTCTGTTGTGTGTCCTGCACCATCGTCTTTGGTTCTTGTAATGTGTTCAAATGTATTTGTTCAAATGTATTTTTTTATCCTAGTCATAGTATTGTAACCATCATAAAATAGATTAAACAAATATATTGAATTAATAAATGAGTGTTACTGTCAGCTTCATACTCAAGAAAAGCGGCCACTTGAGACATTCGTCAGAGACAATCTAGACCCCAGAGCGCTTCTGCGCATAATCACGTGACTACCATGAGGAGGCATTATAGGAACACTATATATGGGCAAGAGAACAATGCGATCTATTGTTTGGGAAAACAATAGAAGCTCTTAAAAAGAACCAACGAGAGAGCAGTACGTCGTCGCACCCAGACACCGTAATAATAAATTAACATTAGTCTAATCATTAGCAGTTCAGCTCCCGGGCTCACTGTAACCATAGAGATATGTCTGTCCTGTGCTTCTATCGACGACACGCTTGTTAAAGACTCCTTTGATTCGATCGATTCGAGCGGCTGAATGGAGAGGCTTAGAGTGGACATCCAGGGTGTGTACGATGGGGACAGGTCACTCAATTTATCATGGAGCTGAGCTTTTTTGTATCAAAATTGATGACAACATTGTTGTAGAAATTTTGGGAAAACCCCCAGTCTTGCGACAATGTTTACTGCTTCGTGCCACATAACCATAGCTCTTTGGACCCAGACCTATAATCTATGATCGCATCTCCAGCTCGTCTTTGAACGGTCCCAGGTACTTGCCGCGTGGAAGGGATGCCTTTCCAGGGCTCAAGGTATAGATGGGCGAGCCCGTACCCATGTTCAGCACGCGAAAATTTTGTAACAGGAGGATACCTGGCCGGTAGAAGTGGATCCGAACTTTGGCCGTGGTGCATATGGCCTCGAAGATGTACCTTTGACTGGAAAGTTCCCTAACAAAAGTGACGAAAGGACTATAAACATACATATCTCATCCCCTGCAAGTACGAGGCGATGGATTGTCACGGTTTCGTCCTCGTGATACAAACCTCGGGATGCTTGGCATTTGCTTTGAATGAGACCAAACGTCATACAGACGACTTGGCCTGTTCGGGTGGATTGGTCACGTGATATTTGCCGTTTTTATACTAAGGACGCCGCCATTATCCGTCTAGACGAACTTGGGCAAACATTTTGTAGTTCTTCTGGTTATGCGTCTCAAGTATAAAGACGGGCGTAGACGCATTATGCGTATAGACGAACTACCTTTTGTAGTGCGTCGTTTAAGACGTATTTCGAAGGAAAGTTCGTCAAACGTTCAACAAGAGGCACGAGCAGATACTAAGAAAAACCATGCAACTGAAAAGAAAAGAAAATAGTAGTAATTATAATAAATGAGGTGAAGAAAGAAATCTTGAGTCCATTTTAATACCCAAGAGTGATCCAGGATAGATGAAGCACCAAGTTTCAGTGATTAATTGTAGCGGATGAATCTGCATCAGAGGACTTATGAAACTGTGAAATGAGATTAAAAAGGGAAACGAAACAAAAAGAACTTTGCAGTCATCTGTAACATAATTAAACAATAGAAAACGTTTTCCGTGTTTGCATAGCCTGATATAAACACGAGAGGGGTTGGGAGAATTCGAGACAGTTATGCAAACCCGAGACGAAGTCTCGGGTTTGCATAACTCAGTGATAACTGGCGAGAATTCTCCCAACCCCTCTCGTGTTTATATCAGGCTATGCAAGCACAGGAAAAAAATTTTTCTATTGCTTTTATAAAATAACATTCCCGAGAAAAACCGCAAAACTCTTTGTTATGGCACTGATAAAAAGAGAAATTCTTACCAGTCGCAAAATCTTGCACGCGTAATCAGTTCTTATTTTGCAAAAAGATGCTTTCCAAAATACGGATTTTTCGAGCTTAAAATTTCAGCTTAAACGAAGAAAAATTGATATGGCTTGTTTGAACCTACAAAGGAATGGGTAAATAAAGTAAACTTGTCGAGTTTTTAACTAGAAAACTTTTTCAAATTCGTGCTTGCGTGATTAGCGCGTGAAAAGCAAAACAATTCTTGACGCCACAACCATGTTTACATACTCTCATGCAAACACTCCTCTTGACCAATCAGAGCGCGCGTGCTATATTAGTTATTTTATAAACAATAATTGAAACTTGAACCTGATTTGCCAGAACCTTTAAATACGTTAACACTAATTAATGTTAGTAAAGACGTCAACTGAAATTATTAAACGACAACAATATATCGGCCGAATGTATTTTCGTCTCTAGTGTTAAGCAACGGTCTGGTGGGGAGTTGTTCTTTCCACATGCTCTCCAGTATGGCAGCTGCTGCAGCCGAGGTTGCTGTTTCTCTGTGCTAGCACTGGTGCTAGGGTTTGTTGTGTGGGGAGCTTGGCTAAACTGCATTGTAACTGCCCTTGAAGGTAAAAAACGTACACAGGTGAGGGGCAGACGGAGGAATTGTTATAGGCGGGGCGTAGAGATATAGTAT